ATGCGAGCCATACAGTAGTCTTACAATCATTATTAATATTACATGTGTTGAGACTTAATTGTGGTCATCACGTATTGAATTACTAATGAATACAGAATACAGTCTAATTCCGTTATAGTTTTATTTTCATTTCTAATTTTGGTGTAATATTATTACCAATATTATTCTGGTATATATTTATTGAGTTTAGTTCCTATTAAAAACTTACAAGTTAGAGTAACAAAATACATACAAAAAACTTAAAAGCTAAAAAATGCCAACACAATAGAAAAATATCGCCAATTGTTTTAGTGAGATTAATCTTTAATGCACATATTTTATAGAATAATAGAACTAATTTACCAATTTTACAACATTTATTTTTAAATTAAGGCTATTAAATTGAAATTCTACTGTGCATTTGTTGATACAATAACTATAACTATGATTATTACTTTTTAGTAAATTTATAATTATGAGTATTATTTAAATAACATAAGTATTACAACTAATATAACTATATCAAATTACTTTATTAGTCTCGGTTAAACAATTAAAAGTGAGGTGTAAAGACCTACTATGTTTCTCACCCCATCATATTGTATCAATATGCGAGCCATACAGTAGTCTTACAATCATTATTAATATTACATGTGTTGAGACTTAATTGTGGTCATCACGTATTGAATTACTAATGAATACAGAATACAGTCTAATTCCGTTATAGTTTTATTTTTATTTCTAATTTTGGTGTAATATTATTACCAATATTATTCTGGAATATATTTATTGAGTTTAGTTCCTATTAAAAACTTACAAGTTAGAGTAACAAAATACATACAAAAAACTTAAAAACTAACAAATGCCTAAATAATAGAAAAATATCGCCAATTGTTTTAGCGAGATTAATTTTTAATGCACATATTTCTATAGAATAATAGAACTAATTTACCAAGTTTACAATATTTATTTTTAATTTTATGATTTTTAAATTAAAGCTATTAAATTGAAATTCTTCTGTGAATTTGTTGATACAATGACTATAACTATGATTATTACTTTTTAGTAAATTTATAATTATGAGCATTATTTAAATAACATAAGTATTACAACTAATATAACTATATCAAATTACTTTATTAGTCTCGGTTAAACAATTAAAAGTGAGGTGTAAAGACCTACTATGTTTCTCACCCCATCATATTGTATCAAATATCCATTATATTTAACATGAAATCTCAGTTTAGCTCCATTACTATATTTTAGCATGGGACTAATTTGAATGCTACATAACATGCAGTACATGTATGTTTTGTCTGTTTAATGCTATTCCTATGATCTCGTTGTCTTTAATGAGTAAAAATGGAATATTTTAGTTTAATAAATTATACCCATATAAACTTATATATTGATAGAAACAAATATTGCCTTACAATGAGAGAGAGAGAGAGAGAGAGAGAGTAAATTAGTTCTATTATTCTATAAAATATGTGCATTAAAGAGAGAGAGAGAGAGAGAGAGAGAGAGATTGCAAACATGATATTTAAATAATATAAATGAGCAGGATACAATAGTGCATGTAAAAAACTTGGTTATAGTAATAAAATGAGATAATGCTCCTAAGGTTAATAGTAAATCTTAGGACAGAAATAAACCTATGGTACTAATGTTATTCATATTCATGAACTAACATTACCCATAAATATGCATTAGTTCTGTGTTAACGTATAGTTATAGACTTAATATGCGGTAATATATAAGACCATATTATTTCTCGTAAAGGGGAGGAAAATTAACAGTTTATAAATTATAAAATTCAATTATACTTCTGGATTGAAGGTATGACAAATAAATTAATTGAAGAAAATTTGTTTGTTCAGTGATGTGCCTAAAAAAGGTGGCCATCACTAACTTAAAAGAAAAGTGTATACATTAGTTTGATATATCATATTTAATAATTATTATAAATCATGAAAAGTTTAAATTAACAACAATCCAACCAATTGACACATTTTTAACTGCAATGCTTAGCTATCATTAAACTATTTGAACGATAAATATAATTAATATATGAAATGTGTTTTCATTGATTAGTGGGAGAGAATGGAATGCCTCGTCGGCTGCGGACGGCCTATACTAATACCCAACTCTTGGAACTGGAAAAGGAATTTCATTTCAATAAATATCTCTGTCGTCCGCGAAGAATAGAAATCGCGGCTTCACTTGAGTTGAGTGAAAGACAAGTGAAAGTTTGGTTTCAAAATCGCCGGTATGTTTAGCACACAATTCCTCTTTTTATTAATCATTGAATTGAATAGAAATTAAATTAAATTCAAAACTTTTTTTGTGAAGAATGAAACACAAAAGACAGTCACAGATCAGTAAGAATGGCGATGAAAAGGGGGGTAAGAGTGGGTCGTGTAGTAATGATGAGGACAGTATGGATATGGATGGAAGTGGTGACGGCGGACACGGCAGTGGTTCGGACACAGGCCTCGATTTAGATAAGTCGGCTCTAAGTCCTAATGATAGCAATCACTCGCAAAGTTCCAGAGAAGAGACGATCAAATGCGAGAAACCAACGCCACTGTCAATGATTGATGCAAACCAATGCTGTGCCGAAACCATTTCTAATCGCAATATAACCACATCAACCACTGGTTCGCCATCAGTGTTATCACCTCATTGTGAAGACATCAAGATCTCTGTGTCCAATACTTCTCATTTGCTTCATTCGGCGCTATCATCAGTAAGTAGTTCTCCGGCCACTCGTAATGCTTTGGGTTCGCCTTCCAGTGTAACCATTAGCCCAAAAGGACATCAAAGTCCAAATGAACACTTGGTTTGTGCGCCCATTCATGTGACTAAAGTGAGGAATTGGACACCAAATACAAGACAACCATTGAATACATTAAATACAATTGAGTGCCATCCAAACCAAAACAATATAAACCCTATGAATACAGGTATAAACTCTTCGACACCTATAACAGCACAACAACCACTTCATGGACAGCACCCGCCAAACAGCCAAAACTTTTACAACCGGTGCGTCAGTATGTCTTCGTCTGTAACTTCTCAGTCATGTTCTTCGACGACCTTTCCTTATGGAAGGCGTCAAAGATATTCCACACAATTCTCTTCTCAGAGCTCTTCCCGTTCTTCTCCATCCAATCCATCGGTTTCTCAAACGACAAACTTTTGTTACCGAACGTCACCATCGGATAACTTCGCTGCCAATACTCGCCCCTCACAACAGAGCACATCTGCTTCAGCACCGGAACCGTTGGCGACAACAAAGTTCTTTCCGTGCGGACCCAACAGCTCATTATATAGCGCTCAACAAACACAACAGTCTTCACAATTACAGCAAAGGCCTCATTACTTCACTACTGATTATAATTGTGATTATTCTGGAGTGAGGAGTGAACCACAAACTTACCCCCAAAGACAGCCTTATGAGAGCACTTTCATAGATAATACACAACAACCACAACAACAGTATCTGTCGAATGGTGCCATAGCCTATGCAAGCCATACAAACCATGCAAACCATACCAACCATTCAAACTATGCAAACCTTGTAAGCCATGCGACAGATCCGGAGCCATACGAAAGTGAAAACAACGATAGAGTGCAACCAAATAACACCAATGCCTATACGAACTCATCAAACGCTGCTTATTATGAAGTGGACACCAATTCAAGTGATCATAACTCGCAACGAATTCCCAGCGAATACAATGCAATCGCTCTGAAACAACAGCCCCAACAATACACCTCTCAATCCCAGTCTAACACTCATCAGCACCAGTATTACGACATACATAGTGGCGGTACGGGTACGGGGCTGGCAGTGGCCGTCTCGCCCAACATTCCCAATACATACGATCAAACGTATTGCAACTCTAATAGCAATAATAGTACAGATCTATCGGCAAATGCTTTTAATAATTATAATAATAGCAACTATTATGACGTTTACAACAACTGTACGAACAATGAGTTTAATTTCATAAACATTGCCAACGAATTCACATCACCTGAATATTATCAGCTCAGCTAAAGACAGGATACCAATCGCTTTGCAATTCAAACCATTCAATTATTATAACAATTTATGACAATTAGATTTTATTTATAGCTTTACTATTGTTTTTATAGACACTACACATGAGTTACTATTTTAGTGCAAAACTAAAGGATCCGAATTATTGTTAATTTTATTCTATTATTTTCAAATTGTTAGCAAAAAAAATATATACAGAAAAGCAAAAAGTGTCGACTTTTGTTGAACACTAGGCCGAGGTATGGGAGCTGTGAGAGTGAATGGTATGGCAGTACCGGTAGAGCCGTAGTGTCGGTGCCATTAATATTATTGAACGTCAAACGAGAATAGTTTGTGATTTAGTTGAGTCTCTCAAGACTTAGCTCGCATTAGATTACATTGTTTTTACTATTAGTACAGTTAGAGTATTGTCTAACTGTATGATACAGTCATGTATCCATGTATAGCAGATTCGCTCCCAAACTATAGCCCATCCATCTCTTAACATCCCTTACCATCTCTACAGACAACACAAAAGTAGTGTATATTTTTTGTTCACATCTCGTGTATAGCCTGTGCTGTAGTGCTGTTAGTGTTGTATAAGTAAGTGATGCTGTGATGCAACGGCTCTCTCATGCCATCCGCCAAACCATTCACTCGTTTTTCTATTTTTCCGACTCATGTAACAACTGATCCCTTAAATAAAGTATATATAAAATGTCTAACAATTTATATAGAGATCACAATTTTTCACACAATTTTTCTTTTAATATAAATTCATGACATAGTTTTGAGTCTAAAATTTGACATAAAAAATGGCAATAAAGTAATGTTAAGCACTAATACTTTTATATAATTTCAAAGCTGTGATCACTTTGTATTGAACCAAAAGGCAATGTATTCCACACTTTCTAACAGTTTATTGCATAGAAATTTGCAATTCATAGCTATAATTATAAACAGTTATGAAAGCAAACCATTGTATTAATAATTAAAATTAATATTATTAATATATTGGCAGCAATTTTATGTGCAATTAAATAATATTCCGTTTAAAACATGTCAACAAACAAACAAAAATCTGTGATTTGAACAAAACGTTTGTAAATAACTTATCAAAAGCATAACATTAATAATAAAATGTATAATTGGTATCAAAACATTACATAAAGCAAAAAGACAATAGTTTGTCCATCACTTCAATCCAAATGCAATTTGTATATAACAACAAAAGAGATATCTTTTAAATTAATATAAACTCTAATTATTTCTTTTCTTAATTGAATATTTGTTAGAAAAGACATACCATTTGGAAAATAAAAACCACTCATTTTTCATTAATCATTCATCGATTGTATTAATACATTAATAGCACTAATTTTAAAACAATTATTTGTAGAGTTAAATATATATAAAGATATCTAATCTATGTATAAAATAAAATAAATATATAAATATTATTATAGATAATGATTAATGAATAATAACAATAAGTTTTAATTTTTAAAAGAATTACGTAAAATTCATTAAATCATTTATATATGATATACCGTCTCTCTCTCTCTCTCTCTCTCTCTCTCTCTCTGGCCTCTAACTTTGAAATAAGA